GGTTCTCGGTGTAAATTCATCAACAGAGCGGTAAAGGCTGGCCTGCTCCGTCCCTGACCACACGTATTTGAATTACGAACCGAGGGGGATGATCTGAAATGCAAAACCTCGGTAAATCCTTAGCGCAGAGTGCAAGGAAAGCCCAAGAGCGTTTTCTGTAATGTTTTATTTTATGACGTCAATGCGAAGAATTCAGAGTGCGGTAAGAGAGAGGACAGTACTGAGTTTAGCTTTGATGTAACAGGATTGATGCTTCAAAATTACCAGCCATGCCAAGAGGTTCGGTGGGAGGTGGGAAGCGTGGTTTTGCTAGACCATCCAACCGACGGGTCTGCGAGAGGCCGCGTCCGCGTCTGCGGGTAGCTGAGAAGGCACACGCAGAGCGGGGGGACTGCTGACATGGGGAAATTCTGTCGTCACCGCGCCGGGCTGGAAGTGGCACAGTCAAACTCTACATTTACCATCCCAGGCTATGGATCGATGAACCTTGTCAGAGACAACCCTAATGACTTCCCCACACCTGGGGTAAGGAGCATGCCCGGTAATGTGGTTACAACCCCCTTCACTTGCAAAAGAGACAAGTGGTGCGTGACAGGCCACATCCTGCAGGACTTGCTTTCCCTAAACTGCACAGGTGAGTTCCCCAAACGGCTCCAAAATCTGACCCAAAATAATATGGAGCTAAAGAGGAAAGCCTTTCCGTTAGATTAAGATCTTTTATCAAACGGTGTTCAAGTAACTTTGTACCGACACGGTGGTACAGACAGGGAAGCGCCTTTCCCTGCTGGGTGATCTTTGCTACCTGTCAGTAATTGGGTTCAGAGATGTCTGTGGTCGCGCTCCCATAGATTTGGATCTCCCAGTCTGAGAGCTGTTTCACAAAGCCCCGGTGTGGTCTCATGTTCGTTTTGCATTTCAGAACGTAGTCCCAAGCTCTCTGTAAACCGAAGGAAAGCAAAGAAGTGTTAGGAATTTGAACCGAAAGTGAATCTCGGGTATTTACACAAAACAGCTATACTTGTGGATGACACAGCTTTGTATTTACTCCCTGTGTTGGACAGCAAGAACCTGCAGATAAGAATTTGGCTACCAAAGTAGGGACAGACTGGACTCAGGTGTGAACTTCAGAGAAGGCTGTCACCTTCATACTCTGCTCTCCTGGATACAAGGACAGCTCAGGCTGCTTTCACTACCTGGCATGTATCTTGTGTTATTTTACACCAATGGAGCAATGCAGTCCTGGATTTTCTACCCTAAAATGCTATTTCTTCCATGATAAGCAAAGCAGTGAAGTATCAGCTATTCACAGGTAAGCAACAAAGGTCATCATGTTTCTGGATCGGTGTGACCTGATGTGGCACAGCAGCTATGACACTCCAGTTATATCCCACTGCACTAATTACAGTCATCTTAATTATTTGTTAGTTCCAAGTAATCAGCTAGGAACTCTGCTACACACAGGGTAGATCCACCAGCATTACTGTGCTTTACTCCAGCTGCATCCTCGGGTTTACCCAGCAGTGCTCATCTTCCCGCTTTTAAAATGGACTTCCCCCCACACACGGAGGATTGCTTAAGCGTAATGAGACCAAAGGTTAGAAGATAGTGCTCCATTGGTTTGTTTCTCTAATCACAGTGATTCTGCGACCTCTGAGGCTCATCTTCCAATATTTACTCCCCTGGGCCCATGGTGTAAGATGTCTCTGGTTCCCCTGAACTCAACAGATCTACTCACATATCGATTCCTAACAGAATAAGGGGCCGCGTGTCCTCCCAAATCTGCCTGCCTTTTGCAATATCTGTGTCTTTCGAAGCTTTCAAAGAACTTTGCCTAGATTGGGTGAAGGATCACACAGGAATCTGTTGCACTGCTTTTTGGCTGCCAGAAACAAACTTGTTTGCCAGGCTAATCCCCCAGGAAAGCTTTGTCCAGCCAGCTTTGCCAACAGGGAGCAAGCACCGCCCAGGTCAGCCACAGCACACCACTGCCCTGTCAACTTTTTCTTCTTTTTTTTGGCACTTAGTAAAATGCTGAGACCAACCTGTTGATACCAACTAAGAGAAATTGCAAGGATCAGCCTTTGACTTTTGCACTGCCATTGCAAGCACCTCCAGCAATTTAGCGTGCAGGCGAATGGTTATCAGGGCGCAGGAGCAATCACACCCAGCATTAGGAGCAGAGACGAAATAGTGACTGCAGCTCTGTTGGCATGCTCAACCTGAAATTACCTGTTGGCACACGGCGATGGTAAGAGATTTCCTCTTATGTTGCAAATGTTTGCACAAAATCAATTAAATGATTAGATACAGGCCCAGCTTCAGTAAAGCTTGGATCCATCCTTTCCAGCTCCCAAAGGACGAAACACTTTCCAAAGAAGGACAAGACTTTTAAGGAGATGCCTTTCAGTTCCCAGGGGAACTAGCCTGCTCTGTGGTCAGCAGGCACCATGAGATGGTGCCTACGGCAGCAGGATGCCCATGGGTGGTATGCAAAGGGAAAAAGGGCCCGGCACCTGGGGAGCGTTCTCAGCCGTCACTCATTATGTTTCTTACGTTATTCAGAGCTATGGAACAGCATGTACTGGCCATCTAACCCCTACATCCCTCCTGGGCTAGTATTACCCCATTCCAGATTTCTCTGCGCAGTAGTACCTATGGGACAGGATTGCTTCTGGAGAAATAAAATAGGATTTGGGAAGAAGTCAGGGCTGATGCTGAAGTCAGTGGTAAACCGGAACCTTGCGGGCACTGGGTTCTGAATTTGCCTGTAACCTCATGGTATTAAGAGATGGAATTAACTCCAGTAGCTTCTAAATATTCTCTTTCTCAGATCCAGGAGAGCAGAAATACTAAGTTCTGTAACCACAGCTTTAGTTTTATAGCCTCGTAGTTCAGTAGGGAAATGCAAGAATATCACAAGTGCCAGGGTAAGGACTCACAGATCCAAAATCACACCTAAGCCACCTCGTTAATGGTATAAAGAAGAAATAATCTCATATAATATAATGTTACATTATCAGGTGGACAGTCTGTATGAAAGCACAGATAATGTCTTTCGCATTACTACAGTAACGAGGCTTCAGAAACAGAAATAAACTGCAGACCCAGCCAGTATCTGTGGGAAATATGGCAGTGATGTACCTTCAGGGAAAACTGTATAAGATAGGCCATGGTTACTGTGCTGCTCCGGCTTATCCCCAGGCTGGAGAACACCAGCACCGCTCCACAATCCAGCTGAGCATCTGAGTAAAGAAATGCCAATCACAAATTAGCGATCTGGGAAATCAAACTTCCAATTGTATAGTCAAGCTCTAATTCAGTGACAGCTGACAGGCTAGCAGCCTGAGTGACAGGAACGCTCATGAACCCTGACAGCAGCAGACAGGCCCTGCCAACTCCTGTTTCTGTAAGCACTCGCCTTTCTTAAAAATCCACGGAGTTAAAACATGTCTTTGAAGACCAGAACCAAGTGACAATGACCACTCAATGCTTCATTACAGATCAGCGTCACCTTTACATCAGATAAGTGAAGAAAAGTGGTCTACCATGACCAATCGGCTGTGGTCAGCATCACATCACCTACTCAAACTCTTCCCAGAAAGGTTTAAAGGTATTGAAATTTCTGATGAATGCTAGAGGAATCAGCTCTCAAACTGGACTTGGACTTCAAATCCCTTACCCCTCCATGGAGATCACCAGCAGGAAGCATGTACATGCTAGCTAGGGCGCTGGCTTTATGATGTTTTTATGATGGATAGCTTGCAGTGACAAGTGCTAAGATCAGCAAACTAATCTTCTACAAAAGCCAAGCCCAAGGATGCTGTCAGTCTCTCCTAACCACATTAGCTCTGCTACCTATGCCTAGAAGGTTGCATATTTTATTAATAACCTTTTGAATTCTTTCCCTCCCTCTCCAGAGCAGACAGCGTGACATGTTTTTAGAGTATCAGCAACTGAACTCCAGAATTCATAAGGCAAAGCCTCTTCTTTTACTGTTGTGGAGAGGTGTGGGGTTTTGTTGGGTTTTGATTTTTTTCTCAAGCACTAAACCAGCATTTTCTAACTTATTTCTATAATGAGACACTAGTTCTGTTCTAAGACCTGAGGAGAAATGGCCTCACACCAACATACACCTGGCATGAGGATATCCACACTCTTTTCAGAGTATGTGGAGAGCTTTTAGTTCACCCATAACCGTTCCGGTTTAGTTAACCTACTCTAGAATGTCAAGTAAACAGTTCGACTATCAAGTAAACACAAGACCTACAGCTAATAAACTCTTATAGTCTGTTTTGGAAACTTCCACAAACTGATGTGAGAAAGAAACTTTCTTCTGAAATACTGCTGGGGAAAAAACCTGGGGCAAAATGAAAGGCAAGTAAGTGGATTTCGATATTTGGGTTCCAATGCATGCAAATCATGAAATTCAATTCAGGACTACAAAATTATATCCTCAAATATTGTTTCCTTGTTTCTTTGTTTGTGTCCAGTTGTCATTTCTTATATTGCACTTGGATTATAAGGTCTGAGGGGACAGGGTTTTCTTTTGCTCCTGGGTCTGTACAACACTCAGCTCAGCAGGGCCTTGGTCTGTGGCAGGCATTATTTCATACGTGTGATAAAAGATAACGACACGGTTGGACACCATCATAGGATAGAGCTGTGGGAGCTATGTCTGCTGTGCTGCTGCAGGCACTGAGCTGGAGCGTACGTTTTTTTCTTGCCATCTCTGATGTAATCAGGCGAAGGCAGGTCCATGCCGCCCAACCTGAAAGTCTTCCCAGGCCCTATGGTGGGTCTGTACTGCAAATCACAAAGATTAGCAGTGTCCCGTGGTAAGTTCTCTAATGTGTGTCACACTCTTGTTCAAATAAAGCTCTGGTGGTTGAAGATTTGGGCTGGTAAGAGTCAAAGGGTTGTATTTAAGAACAAAGGAATAGGAGGGAATCCTAGGAAGCCCTGGTAGACATCCTCCAGCAAAGCCTTTTCAGATCGGGTGGAAAGCTCACTATTATCAGAGAATGAGGTATTCTTTCAAGAGAGTAGGAACATGAGAGTCAGATGCCCTGTAAAATCTCCTGCCGGTCCATCAGGCTGGTTAGTAAGGCAGCTCAGGTATCCATTAGGGTGTGGGCTTGCTTGGGAGTGTACCGATCTTGAAAGATTACGACCCTCCTGTCTGAGCCTCTTGTTCGAGTGAATTGCAGTCACTCCCATCTAATATCCTACAGTGAGCAAGGTCTCAGGAATTCCAGATGAGGAACAACTTACCTATGAAATGACAAATGGTGGCAAAGGAAGAAAAAAGATCTGCTTCGAGCGAATCTGGAACAGATATATGGAGGTATTTGCCGCCTTCTGCAAACCTGGAAAAAGAGCACACAGCATGGCATGGACCAGAGAAGCAGCTTTGAAAAAATGTGTTTGTTGGAGGCAAGCTGATAATTTTGTTTGCTCTTACATGTGTGAGTTTTTCATCATTGTCGTCATTAACATTATGATAAGGGATTTGTTATGGTAAGACACTGAGATGCTTGTAGTACAGAACCAGTTTAATTATTGATTTTCCATTCCATGTGGTATCAGCATTGATGTCTTAACTTAACCTACAGCTTCCTTTATCTGAGAGCTAAGTGAAAACAGATGAACTGAAAACACGAGTGCCTTCACAGCGTGCATGTTGGCAGTTTTCTGGACATAGCCCCCCCAATTCACTTCATGTGGTTTTCTATGACAGCACTCTCCTCCTTCCACAGACTCGGAGAACTAACGGAGCAAAATATCAATGAGGAATTTCCAAAATGTGAAAGCATGTCATGCAGAGGGCATGGGAAGATTACCCACAGTGCAGAGACCTTTGATATTTTCCTCTGGAGCCAAAGGCATGAGAAATGTCTGCTGGTACACATGTCCTGGGGTAGGTAACTGGATTTTTACTTTGTTTTCGTCACCACCCTGAGAAATGCCACTAGATTTTTCAGTGTGAAATGGCATTTCCAGCATGGCCTACAGACTGAGCTGAACGGTCACGGACAGGTGTAGGTAAGGAAGGAAGACCAGCAATGTGAAACATCGGTGATTTAGCTTTTGCTCTGATGTGTTTGTAAGATTTTACTCTGAAAGCTATTCAGAGATGTAGGTTCTTCCCAAAGGATGGTGGCATGCGATAAGACTCGAAATGCCAAGGGCTTCCCACTCCTCCTCTCACCCAGTCCACCCACGTCACGGTCAAGGGCTGCAGGACCGCATTGCTGGTATGCTAACTCTGGAGTGGAGATCGGAAAAACGAGCATGAAACAGCACTCGAATCTGCAGTGAACAACAGAGGCTTCCTTGGAAGTTCACAGGCACTGACTCCTCTGCGAATGGGCTCCGGTGCTGTGCCACCTCACCGTTTTCACAGGCACAGACATTGGTGAGAGTAAACCTTGAACTATTTTACTTACAGTGTTGCAGGCTGTTCTGAGATGTTGACGTGTGCTTTGATCTTCAGATCTTTCTGAATTTGTTGGTCACAGGCCTGCTTGAAATTGCCCATATATAACTTTGCAGGCAGTATTTCTACAGGGTATGGCTGGAAGTTGTCTAGTTCCTGCCGGAGAGAAACCAGAGGCTCAGTTTAGAGAGTGTATTTGCTCCTATTAGCTTGGTAAGTTCTTAAACAGAAGTCATGTGAAGAATTGAACGCGGGCTTAGTCAACAGTCCATGACACATTCCAGCGTAATGATTCATTCAATCACCTGGACTTTCTGGATACTGAAGTCTTATTTTTATTAGATTTATTAAGAATAATTAACAGCATTGCTGTCATTGTGCCATCGCTTGAAACAAATCCTAACTAAACAGGAGGTGGCATATATTCTTTACGTTGTCTGGAGGGACTGCAGCATAACAGATTCATTTGATGTTCTCCCCAGTTGATGTTTGCAAGGCTGAGTGAAATCATCTGCCACCTGCAGAGCTGCAGGTACCCCGTAGTGGCACAAGACAAGTCCGGAGCTGCTCCTGGTGAAGGCTGAGAATAAAAATACACAAGTAGTCAACAGTGCCTCGACATCCTTAACTGATACTTGGCTAATGCTGCAGCAGAACAAAGGAACAGCCTAACAATTTAAAGCAACAGAGAACAACAGCTTAAACTGAGAGGCAAGGCAGTACTCTGCATCCAACTGAATCTGATGGGGAAGTTCAGCAGCTTGCTACCCTTCACAAAGCAGCACAAAGTGAATTGATTTTCTCTCCTGCACTGTAGCATCCCACAGGTTAGCACCGTGTCACGGGCGATTTCACATGAATTAGAAGTGAAGAAGTACAACAGAAACAAAAGACACGTTGCAATGAGATGTTCTCTGTCGTCCAGCGCCCTCTAAATCTGTCCGGCCTCAGGTCCTGTCCTAGATGTGAAAAAAAGGGTAATTGTTTCTCATAAGCTAAACAGATCATTGTTTGTAGGTGAAACCAAACAATTAGGAGACCAGTGTTCAGTGGATGGCTGTTTTCTTTCTGGGCCTGCTGAAACGATGCAGCCGCACTTGTTTTGTGATCCTTCCCGATGAAAAGCTTTATAGACATGGAACACAGTGCTTGATAGGAATTGTACTTCTGTCTGAAAACATTTACAGTGTACCATCCCAGATAACCACGTGTCAGAGAGGAACCTGCTTCTTTTCATCATTTGCTACTGTTTGTTTAGTTATCTGTACTCTCTAGTAGGCCAGTTTCGGGGTTATCAGAGAAACCTTTCCAGGCTGTTCTCATGAGCTTGCTTTCACGCAATACAAGAGGAAAAAAAGGCAAAGTGTGGCTGTAAAAGAATTAGTGGTGAGACTCAGGGCAAGCACAGTAACTCAAATTATATCCAATTCCTTTGTTTGAAATTACTCTGATACCAGGTTTACAACGCCATTTAACTTGAATTCATTAGCCATCATCAGTTGAATATGAATGCTAATGTCTTCTACTTGCAAATTAGTCTCATCTCACCTGAGGCATCCACAGTATCTTCTGACTCCTCAGAAAATGATAGCAAGCTGAAAAACGCTTGTATCCTCCCCTCAGGATGAGCACGGGATGGCGGGTGAACTGCTCTAAGCTTCTGGCATATCGGACGGCAGTTCCTTCCTCAGCATCTGGTGAGAGCAAAAAGCTATTTGCCAGGGCAGATTTAGAGAGCCTTCATCAGCACTGGGGGTGACATCTGTCCCACTGACACCGACAGCAAACTCCTTTTCATTTCACCTAATAGTCTGTAGAAAGCCGTGTTCAAAGCTAGACTTCCTCGTTAATTGTTGCTGCAGGTCAATAACAGGGCATGCTGCTTTTCACCTCTTGTCCTGGTCTTTTATTCCTCTCCTCGTTTCTTTTGTAGGTCCAGATAAAGTTTTTTTTCCCCTCCCCATTATTCTGTGGGAAATGCTTGTAATAAGTTCTCATAATAGGGAAGTAGTATTAATTTAAATCTAATAATCTGAGTTTTATGGAGACCCTTTTCTTTAGTCTGCTTTAGGCAAAAGGGGAAAGAAGAAGGTTTCTTGAATAAATTCTTCACAAGTGTTTTAAACACTCCCCGCAGTGAAGTAAATTATGTGAGGTGGCTGCTCCCCCTCCTTCTCCCAAGAGATCCATCCCGCTTGCCTCAGGCTTTGTCTGCTTTAGAAACAGATCAGCACAATAGAAACCCACTTCTCATTCTTCACACCTTCCCTTGCTACTGTCTCATCACCGAGCACTTACGAACATGCTTGCTTTATTCATTCCCCTTACACTCCCAGATCTTTTTCTTTAAAAAATGATGTAAATTTTTGCTAAGACTGTAGTCGCCTCTACAAAGCTAATAGGAGCCAAACAAACATACAGAAGTGGTTCTGCACACAGCAGAATTCTGCGCCAAAGGATGCGTGAAAGCTAAACATTTCCATGGTTCAAGGGAGGCTGAACAATTACATGGAAGAGTTTCTGGCTCTTCACATTTCTCGGTGAACTCCATCAAATCACCACCCCCATTTAAGCTAAGTCTTTTTAAATATGATAACGTGAAAGCCTTTTATAACCCTCAAAGAAGGAAGTACTTACTCTGTGAACATATGGAACTTGAGTCAGTGTTTTCAGTCTCTAAAGAAGCACTGCTCCCTAAAAGGCAATCGTTGGACAAGCTCAATCTCAGAGAAATGTGGAAAAAAAAAAGAACTCATTCCTCACACGCAACAAGGAGCTTCAGAGGGATCAGTCCACAGGTAGGAAACCAGGCCTGCCAGGACGCTTTGAAATAAAGTCTGGATTTTTGAAGCCTAAGAACATATGCAACATGAAAAACCAGAGGCACTGCACAGATGTTCATTTTTCAAATAAAACTGGATACATTTGCATCTCTTCCAGTAAGCTCATAAAATTAAATGAGGAATGGGAAGAATATCTACCTGGCAGTTAGGTCTTGACTGACATGGGTCACACATACCTTTTTCTTTCTCCTCTTCCTCATAGTCACAGCAATCCAAAGAACTGGTCTCACAGTCATACACCACACAGTATCTGACACACCTCAACTCCTCTGAATCCGGTACCAGATACTCCCCCGTAGGACTCTACCGAAATCACAGAGGAATTCTGTCAGGAGCACCAACACTTGTGGCACCAATGCTACAGACATCTTGCAAGTTACTACCCTATAGCTACAGGATGGGTTTGGGGCTATGTCTGTACTTGACGCTGAAAGTCCCGGTTAGAATTCAGAAATGATGCAAACTACGCCAGATTGCTTCATCAGGTGCAGTGGTAAAGACGCCAGCACTGTCCTTTGTGAGACAAGGCTACAATATGTTAGTTCTTGTGCAATATTTTTTCCTGATATACAGCTCCTACGTGCCACTCCTTTGGGCTACTGGAGCCACCTTTGCTTTGTGACAGAATACACCCTCCCAGTGGCAGAAATGGATCAGGGCTGAAACAAACGGGGGGGGTGGTGGTGGGACATTTCCTGTGGGTTTTAAGCAAATTTTGGCTTACTGCTAATTGCTAAATCCAGGGATAGTTTATACAAACGGTAATCCCCTCACCTGTTCAATCCTGCGTGCTGTAATAATATGGCTTTCATCGTATTCACGCTGAGTACGGGCATCTGAAAAGAACAGCCAAGACAGAGCAATTGGCTTATTTGATGCATTAAAGGTAGAATCCTCTTTGTAATTCAGTCAGTGGGAATTCAGGCACTGACATCCACCAGAGAATGAGATTCGTTTATTTAGAAACTGAGACTTTCTGGTGTGGATGTAACGAATGCCAATACTGATGTGAGTCTGTGTAACACCAAGCGATACCAGCAGCTTTAGTCCTGACCCAGGTGTGGTACTGCAGCGTTCACAGTGCCAGTCCCGTGCTCCGTTCTGCTCTGCCCTGTGGCATAGCCTGGCCCCCACTCACTGGGCCCCCTCTGACCTCCCGGCACCCAGCACCTCTGCTTCTGTGCTGCCCCCGAGATGGGGAGAAGGGCGCCGGGGAGACCCCAACCCCACTCCCAAACTGGCTGACTCCCTCACCAAAACAGGTCATAATATTGCAATATCAGGCACCGTTTTGGGGAGTACTGGCACTATGCAAGGTGCAAATGCTTATCAGCAATCTTTGTGCAACGATCAAGAAATCCTGTCCACCCCTAAAACCTCCAGGAGCGGCAGGGGAGAGTGTGTATCCCTGGGACGGCTCAGAGCTGGACGTGATGAAAGCCAGAGCAGTACCGCATCATGGCACCTGAAACGGGATGAGAGAAAC